AAAAGACTAGTCAATCCATCTGCAAGACCTATAGAACCTTCCACTCTGCAAGACCTATAGAACCTTCCACTCTCCCTTCTTCAAGTACCTAGTTCCTCAGATCTAAATCTTCCCCTTCAGCACACTAACATGCTCTCTAGCCTTTAAAAAATAGTAGCACAGTCACTCTGGAAAATAGCATGGCATTTTCTTAGAAAACTAAAACACAGCTACCATATGACACAGAAATTGCACTCCTCGGCATTTATCCTAGAGAAATGAAGACTTACATTCACACAAAAACCTGTACACATATGTTCATAGCACCTTTATCTATAATAGCAAAAACCTAAATTAGCTCAAGTGTCCTTCAGCAGGAGAACAATTAAACAAACTGTGGTATATCCACACCATGGAATATTGCTCAGCAACAAACAGGAGTGAACTACAACATGGGGCAACTTGGATGACTCTCCAAGGAATTCTGCTGGTTATTTGTTACTGTTGTTGGTTTGAGTCAGGGCCTCACTCTGTTGCCCAGACTGGCATGCAGTGGCATGATCACAGTTCACTGCAGCCTCGCCTCAAACTTCCAATCCCAAGTGATCCTCCCACCCGAACCTCCCAAGCACCTGGGACTATAGGTGTGCACCACTACACCAGGCTAATTTTTAAATTTTTTTGTAGAGATGGGATCTCACTGTATTGCCCAGGCTGGTCTCAAACTCCTGGGATCAAGCAGTCCTCCTAACTCAGCCTCCCAAAGTGCTGTGATTACAGACATGAGCAACTGAGCCTGGACCTGATTTTAAAAAGGTTACATACTATATGTCTATGTAGGTAACAGTGTTGGTTTTTTGTTTTTTTTTAAGACAGGGTCTCACTGTGTCACCCAGGCTCAAGTGCAGTGGAGCAATCTTGGCCACTGCAGCCTTCACCTCCCTGGTTCAAGCAATTCTCCTGCCTCAGCCTCCCGAGTAGCTGAGATTACAGGTGTGCACCACCATGCCCGGCTAATTTTTGTATTTTTAGGAGAGATAGCGTTTCGCCATGTCAACCAAGCTGGTCTTGAACTCCTGGCCTCAAGTGATCTGCCCACCTTGGCCTCCCAAAGTGCTGGGATTACAGGTGTGACAGAGGAAGACTCCAAAAAAAAAAATATATATATATATATATATGTGTGTGCGCCTGTGTGTGTATGCATGCGCACGCTAAGTTTGCATATGAGTAAAACCATATATGTAAATGTAATAAAAATGTATTAAAAAACGTGAGCTCGGCTCAGAGACTTACTTCTGCAATCCTAACACTTTGGGAGGCCAAGGCAGGAGGATCACTTGGGCCCAGGAGTTCAAGACTAGCCTGGGCAACATAGTGAGACCTCATCTCTACAAAAAATAAAATTAGACCAGGCACAATGGCTCATGCCTATAATCCCAGCACTTTGGGAGGCTGAGGTAGGTAGATCACTTGAGGCCAGGAGTTTCAGACCTCCATCTCTACTAAAAATACAAAAATTAGCCAGGTGTGGTGGTGTACACCTGTGGTCCCTGCTACTCAGGAGACTGAGGCAGGAGAATCTCTTGAACTCAGGAGGTGGAGGTTGCAGTGAGCTGCAATCACACCACTACATTCCAGCCTGGGCAATGAAGTAAGGCTCTGTCTCAAGGAAAACATAATAATTGGCTGAGTGTTGTTGTGCATACATCTACGTAGTCCTAGCTATTCAGGAGGCTGAGGTAGGAGGATCATTTGAGCCCAGGAATTTGAGAGCAGCCTGGGCAACATAGGGAGACCCTGTCTCTACAAAAGAAGTTAATAATTAGCCAGGCATGGTGGTACACATCTGTAGTCCCAGCTACTTTTGGGAGGCTGAGGTGGGAGGATCCCTCAAGCCTGGGAATTTGAGGCTGCAATTGAGCTATGTATGACTGCACCACTGTTCTCTAGCAGATTGAGACCTCTGGGCAGCAAAGTGAGACGCTGTCTCTAAAAATAAACTAAAACAAACAAACAGAACAAAAGCCCTGCAGGAGCTAAGACCTGCCCCTCCAGCCCCATCCCATGCTCTTCTCTTTGGAGCAACCCTGGCTTCTTCTCAGGGTCTCAAAACAGGACCACCCTCCCTGAGATCCTCCTGAGGCGGAGCTGGCTCCCCATCCTCAGAGAGCCCTTGGCAGCATCCCTGTCCCTGTGTATTCCCTCCTGGCAACGACCATACCTGTAATGCATTGTTCTGCTGCTCCCGTGTCCCCTGTGTGACACTCGCATAAGACTGAAAGCTCCATGTGGGTGTGAAGTGAAGAGCCTGGTCTGTGTTAGGTGCTCAGTGAATACTTCTGTGTATGGTAAAATTCAGTGAAGAAATTTAAAGCATGAAAGCTTACAGTAGAGTTGGAGAGGTGTCACTTACATATAAGGTAGAAGCACGAGAAGACAGCAGCGTCACTGCAGAAGTGGGCCGCTCAGCCTGTGAGTGCAGGAGGCACTTAGAGGAATGGGTGTCAGTGTCGCTTCCCGGACTTTTGGCTAAGATCAAGTGAAGAATGGGTGTCAGCTCTCTCTGCTGAGAACAAAGACAATTCAAATGCCACTTTTCAAGGTGAAAATAGAGCCCAAAGTCCTGAAAAAGGAGATTAAAAATAAAGGTTCGGCAAGGCCCCAGCAAGATCAGGATATCAAGAGCCTGGCATTTTTCTTCTGCTCCCTCCCAAAGCCGCCGTTCAACATTGCACTGTGTTCCTGAAGGATATCACCAGAGTCGGAAAATCTGGGAGTCCCAGTTCCCACCTTCTCCTGGCTGCTGATCCTGGGCAAGGCACATGTGCTCTTTGTACCTCTGTTTCTCAGCTAAAATTGGAGGTTGAGTGTAGACTTTTAGGGTTCTTTTCCATGATAAAGACTTTTTTAGGTTTCCGGGCCTGGCGTGGTGGCTCACGCCTGTAATCCCAGCACGTTGGGAGGCTGAGGTGGGCAAATCACGAGGTCAGGAGTTTGAGACCAGCCTCGCCAACATGGTGAAACCCTGTCTCTACTAAAAATACAAATTAGCTGGGTGCAGTGGCAGGTGCCTGTAATCCCAGATATTTGGGAGGCTGAGGCAGGAGAATTGCTTGAACCCGGGAGGCAGAGGCTGCAGTAAGCCAAGACCATGCCATTGCACTCCAGCCTCCCTCTCTGT